ACTGGTAGAGAGCATCCTCACTACTGGCATCACGGTCTGGTATGGTAACACCACACAGGCAGAGAGGAAGGCTCTTCAAAAGGTCATAAAGACTGCAGAGAGGATCACTGGGACTGAACTGCCTGCTATGGACACACTATACACACAGTGCTGTCGTAAAAGGGCAGAGAACATACTCAGGGATCCACGCCACCCAGCTCACTCTCTGCTCAGATACAAAAACTGCACCTACAGCCTCAGGCACAGCAGGGCGGACAGTATCATCACACGCAGAACAAGACATTACAACAGCTTTTTCCCTGCCGAAGTAAGACTGATGGGAAATACGAAAATGCCAGAATATATGTGCAATAACCCCCCTCGCCCACCCCACACATCACTTACTGTGTTCTCTGTTGTGTATTAGTGAACTACAAAAAATGTAGACCTTTTTAGGTCAATGACCATCAACATGAACTTCTAAACATAACCTCTAACATCAGAGGTACATGACTTGTGTACTTGAGAGTAAATAAGTGTGCTTATCAGACTTGGCAATCCCAGCAGTACAGATTTCAACAACCACAGAGCTGGATCAGATACAATCAGTTAGCTGCTGTTTACCTTCAGCATCGAGGCAGAGTGTGTGGTGTTGTCCTCCAGAGAAGTCCACCCAAGAGGTGGTAGAGTTCCTAAAGCATGTCAGTTTTACTGGGACAAAAAGCGTCTTGGTGGTTTTAGTACCTGGACAAATTGACACAAAATAAAGCCTGAGTCACAGCTGAATGCACAGTAATGTTAGGGAATGCTACAGTTAAAATGATAAATCAAACTGGGTCAATTCACCTTATCAAAAGGATTAAACACTCATGTGTCATACTGACCCAGCTGGTGATAGTTGGAAAGGCCAAATCCATACACATGTCCCTCTTCTGACACAGCAAAGGTGAGATATGCGCCACAGAAGGCATCTGTGAAGTGAACTTTCCCTTTGACTTTTACCTGCTGTGGTACCAGCAGCCGGCCTGAAATCACAGGACAAAAAAAATAACACAGATTACACATAAAACATCAATTGCTAATGTAATCATAAACAGAGTAATGACTATACTAAACTTTTACTCTTTTAATCCATCCAAAGGTAAAAGGCTTGTATTACTTACCGAGGCCTTTCCTGCCTCCTCTGTTTGAAAACTGCTCCGGCACTCGTCCCAACTGACCCTGCTCTGCATTGCCTGACGTGTAAAGGTTTCCCTCCTGTGTTACCAATACCAGGTGATCGTTACCTAATAACCCATGCATAAAAATTAAACAAACAGTCAATATGTGGCGTACACATAGAAGCATATGGCTCTGACATCTCTGTTTCTTACCTGATGCAATTTTCACAACAGCTTCTGTCATGGGGACTTTGGCTGGAACAGGAGACCCCTTCATGGAGTCCAAAAGACCAATGACACCATTGTTATCCTGGGAAAAAGGGTCCACCATATTAATGGTTCAATCTAGAGATACACAATGCTCATGTTTAGGGTTATTAAAAGTAAATAACTATTACCATGTCTTTTTTCTTTAACCTTCTACCATTTCATTGTATTCATTTTATTATAAATGTTATGATTCTTCACTTTTAGGTAAAGCAATTTGTTGCACTGCATGTCTGAACTGTGCTATAGAAATCAAGTTTAAAACAAAAAAAAACTGATTTATATTGCCTTATTAAAAACTGAGTGAGTGGATGGAAAAATATCCACAGAATGTAGCAGAAATGAAGTGACTGTTAGAAATAGGCAGGCGACACACATGAACAAGGGGAAGGGGCACAGCTGCTTTGAGAACTGACCCGGAGCAGAGAATAAGTCCAGATGTGGAGATGCAGCTGATACAGAAATTCTCCACCTTTTTTCTCAGTGGAACTTAGCTGATGTGTAATACTCATATGAGAAACATTCTAAATAGAAATCAGACCTAAAATAACAATAGAAACCCTGTTTAAAAAAATTTTCAACGCATTTCACACATAAATATCAGGGCTGTCAAAAATCAAATGGGAATACATTAGGTCAGTGGCAGTAACAGAGATGATAAGTACTAATTAAGCCTGGGGGATAAAATGATAACGATATATACTGTGATAGGCACTGCTTCAATAACAATAAGACATCTGTTCAATTAGATGGCTGGTTAAAAGCGAGGCGTGACCACATAACGGCGGTTACATGAACAAGCCCAAAGCATCTCCCTCCCTAGAACATAAACAGCTAATCATAGCCATTGATAACACAGAGTGCCACAAGTGATACGCTAACAGCCAATCAGGCATATAGCCCCTCAACATGCAACACAACAACAGAAGCAGTGTGGAACATCAGGAAAAAAGAAGAGTGGAGCAAGTGAAGAAGAAATTGCCAGGTCCTTCTGTGAAATTTCAGAAGGACAGCCCACCAACAATCTATGACTTTGAGTTTGTATTTCTAATATTTATTGCATCTTACTGATGTTAGGTCAGTATACCTGTTGATTAACATTCAATAAAGAAAGCAAGTAAAATCAAGGTGAGATCATTCATTTATCCTCGCTTTTAAAGGGAGTCTCTTCCCATCTTTATGTGCCCTGATACAAAAAAAAAGTGGTTTAATTAAACCTTTCTCCTGAGGTTTATTTAAAAAAAAAAAGCTCATTAAAATGATCAGTAATTATCAATAAACTGATATGAAAAAACTTATCGTGATAACATTTAGTGCCATATGGCCCATCCCTAGAATTTATCATAAAAAGCTGGGGAGTAATATAGCAGGAATAAGTGCTGAGCGATGAAAATAACCAGGACTGGCATTAAAACTAGTTTAATTTCTTTACTTTTCTCTCTCAATATTTATTGTGAATCCCTTTTAGTCCCCAGGCCTGTTAACATGCTGTAACCGTCTACTGTGGTTGATTTGGTCATTTAGCTACAAGAAGCAGAGATTAGAGTCCTGAGGAAGTGACAAGAACAAAAAAATCCTAAGCACAGAGTATATCACTTATTCAGGGGCAATTAGGGAAGTCTGAGGAAAGACAGACATGACACCCTGAAGATAAATAAGCTTTCAGGGTTAGGAAAGGCACTGATGAGACGATTTCTGTCCAAGATGAAATCTGGTTTGGATGATTATACAGTTGTGTTCAAAATAAGAGCAGTGCGTTTACAAAAAGTGAGTAAAGCTCAAAATTCTTATAATAGCTTTTATTTCCATACACACAAATGCACTGGTAACAGTACACATTCTATTCCAAATCAAAACATGAAGAAAATTTTATAAAATTTGTTATTACTTTACACAAAGTGAAGAAAAAGAAATATTAGGCTGTCCAAAAAAATAGTGTATGCATTTTATTTTACAAACTCAAACATTTACTGTGTAAACTGAAAAAATGCTTGAAGATGTAGCTTTCCTGTGAATCACTGAATATTTAGTTGTATAAACACTATTTCTGAGAACTGTTTCATGTGTGTGCTGCATGGAGTCGACCAACTTCTGGCACCTGTGGACAGGTATTCCAGCCCAGGATGATTGCACTACATTCCACAATTCCTCTGCATTTCTTGGTTTTGCTTCAGCAACAGCATTTTTATTGTCACCCCACAAGTTTTCTATCAGACTAAAATTGAGAATAGAATTTAAAATCCTTCTAACATACAAAGCCCTTAATGACAAGGCTCCATTGTATCTTAAAGACCTCGTAGAGCCTTATCATCCTAACAGAGCACTTCGCTCTCAGAGTGCAGGTTTACTTGTGGTTCCTAGAGTCCACAGAAGCAGAATGGGAGGCAGAGCCTTTAGCTATCAAGCTCCTCTCCTATGGAACCAACTCCCAGTCTCAGTTCGGGAGGCAGACACCCTCTCTACCTTTAAGATTAGACTTAAGACTTTCCTTTTTGATAAAGCCTATAGATAGGGCTGGATCAGGTGACCCTGAGCCTTCCTTTAGTTATGCTGCTATAGGCCTAGGCTGCTGGGGGGCCCCATGATGCTCTGAGTTTCTCTCCTCTCTCTCCATTGTCCTATATGCCACCATTGCACATCACTAACTTTGTGTCTCCTCT